GCCTGAGGGATTTCAGGCTGTGTTCCATTTTTCTCTAGGTGTACCTGCACTGCAGTGCTTCCGTGTGCCACCAGTCTGTAAAGGAGTCCTGCATCACCTCTTGTCCTTCCAGAGTCAGGAAGTGCCTTGGCCTTCTGCTCCCTAGCCCAAGGGGCAGCAAGGGCCTAGTCTCCAAGCTGGGGAGTAGGAGACATGTAGCCTATGGAGTAATTCCCTTAAGGCATGGACAGCTTGACAAAGCGTTTCCTGCTCCTTTCCACTGACCAAGTGGCTCTTCTTATGCCAAAAAGACAGAGGTCTTCATGGCCTCTTAGCTCTATGTGGTCTCACACGGAAACTGTGCCTTCAGAGCTTCCCGTGTTGAGAAGCTGACCTGGACAAAGTTTGCTGACCTTCAGGGCTCTGTCTCTTCTTACCCACAACCTTCACGTTGCTGTGTAGGGGGTAAAAGGAGTGCTGAGCATCCTTTCCAGGAAGGTACTTCCCATGTCTCCAGCAAAGGCCCTGTGATTTTCCTCCAGGATGAGCTAAGACAGGACACAGCCAAGGATGGCCTTGGTAAGTGTGGCAGCAGAGCCGGGGAAGGGGGCTGGTCTAAGGCTTTTCTACAGAAAGTCTGAGCCCCTAGGGCATCACTGTGCCTCACTGGGAGCATTCCTTGGGGTGTCTCTCCCCACAGGAGCAGCTGTGCATGCTGCAGCCCCCTGGGCTCTGGAATTTGCTGCTGTGGCAACTGCAATAGCTCTGTGTGTGGTGCTTGTGGTTTCTATGCTGTGGCAAAGGAAGGTGTCAGCCATGCATGAAATCAGTGGATTGCAATAAAGTGCCTGTCAAACCCGTTTGTTTGGTGGTCCCCCTTCCCTTGGAGACTATAGCTGTAAGAGTTCGTTTGCAAGGCAAAAATTACCGCAGTGTCAGTGCAAGCTTTCCAAATGCTCTGATTTCATCTCACTTGAATTCTTCTCCTCTGCATTTGATATCGTCTCTGCCTTGGAAAAACTGGAGACCTTGTCAAGACCTGGACTGCAGAGTGAGGCAGGATTGGTGCTGGGTGGTGTTGGCATTTCTGTTAGTGAATATAGTGGCTTTCAAAAGTAGTGACCTAGGCTCCATTCCAACACTGAGCAGAAGTGCAGCAAAGCTCACTCCAAGCAGATCCTGCAGCTGCTTCTCTGGAGATGCAGGCCAGTGTTTTGACAGGGCTGAGGACCTGGGACTTGCCCACTTGTCCCTAATTCAGTAGTTAAGATAGGGCTGTGCTCATGTGGCAGGACTGGAAAACAAGGATGCCAAAGCAGTACACAAATGGGCCTTGCTAATGATGCTGTGGATGAACTTGCCTTTCTTGCCCTAGAAATGGAAAAGGGTAGGTGGCATTTTTCTGGTGAATGAGAACATGGAAATTTCATATCAATAGGAAAAGAAAAAAAAAAGGGGGGGGCCTAGGTGGCCCTTCTGAAATTCAGGGGGGAAAAAAAATCTAACTTTACTTAGTGCTTCCTCATATGTATTCATATGACAGCAGGCAGTTAGGAGTCTTCAAAGGTCTTGGGTCAAAGCTAATTTGACATTGCTGTTGGCATAAGAGCACTTTTCTTAATTTTTAACTTATTTAGTTTAGATGAGAATAAAACCTTGCCATTTAGAGCATCTGGAGTGGTTCAGTGTGGTGTTGTCAGTCCCAGCAGCTGGGCAGCATCCCTCTTGGCTTTCTGAGGTCCTGGGTGAAAACAGTAGAACAAAGCTCTCCAGGCAGTAGAGGGGAAATGGGGCCCCACCTCCCTCCTACCTGCCCAGCCTGGGGGACCTCTGGTGCTTGCACTTAGACTGAGCTCTGCTTATAGCTGATGGAGTAGTCCTTGAGGGGAAGGAAAAATGCTTTTCCCTCTTTTCCTCTATGGCTCGATTAGAAATGCTTCCTGTTAAGGGCAGGAGAGAAGCCTTAATTGTATTGCTTTGGAGCCTTTAAAAGGGAGGAGTAGCACTTACATGTGGAGGCAAAGAACTGATCAGTAGCTTGCTTGAGGCAGCAGATGTTGTTCTTTCTAATTAGGTTCTGTTGATCCTGTGTGGTTGGAGGGTGTTAATGGGTGGTGGCATCTGTGTTTTAATTCCTTTCCTATTTCAAGAAACTTCAGGAGTAATCTTGTTGAGGCTGTCTTGGGTTAGGGGTCTTCAAAGATAGGAGCAGTTGTTAGTTGTAGTGAAGTTGTTTATTGCATGAATGCATCAGCCTCAAAGGCAAAGAGTTCAAGGTATTGAAGTCCATGCTCAAGTATGAAAGCCCGTGCTAAAATCTTTCTGGCAGAGAATCCCAAGTAAAGGCTGCAGCTGCAACAGCTCCTCTCTGGCGTGGAGTCCCAGATTCTGCGCAGGAACAGTGGCAGCAGCAGCAAGAGTTGTTCCCTGGCATAGAGTCCAATGTTCCGAGCAGCAGGAACCACAGCCTTTTTGTCTTCTTTCTTCTCTTCTTGTTATTCTTTCTTCCTTCCATCCCTTTCTCCCATCCCTTCACCCCAATGGAGGGGCATTTTATTCATAAAACATCCAATCAGCTAAAAGCACAATTCTCAAGCATTATTTCTAAACCAATCTAAACCTAATTCTAATGTGCTCAAGTAGTATGGAAGTAGTGTCACTTCTTAAAAACCTACTTATATAATATTATCTATTTATGCAAATATACAAACTTTTTTCTTAGTAATATTTACATTTATAAGTTTATCTATTGACGTGGATAGTTCTATCTATTTATACTTCTAGTTCTATCTGTTCTAGAGAGCAAACCAAGTTCTCCCATGATTTTATTATGTCTGGAGCCACGTTACTGAATTTCAAACTCAGCCTTAGGGCCTTTGCTAGCTAACGCTGTTTCTTAAGGCACTTAAAATGTATTTCTACTTACTTAAAACTGTACCGTACATTTCCACTTACTTAGAATTTAAACCTACACTTCTATTTCATATCTATGTGGCTTAATGTGTATTAATTGCTCTAAAGGCTTTAATTCAACCCCTGCATTCATTTCTCTCTTTGAGGAACTCAAAGAGGCTTGCATTGCAACATCTCTCCCTTCTCTTTGAACCATGTAGATTCCCTTAATAGCTTTGTTGATCATTTCCCAAATGCGTTGGAGAAAGGAAGACACCATGATTAGCACAACTGTTATGATGACTAAAATGTATAAACCCCTTTTTAGAAGCTCTTTCACCCATGAAGTTAAATTCCATCCATCAGACTATCTAACCAAGTTCTATCATCATTTCTAATCTGTGATACACCTTCCTTGTATGCTTTTGTAAATAGAGTCTGAGTGATCAGATAGATTTGTACCACACATTCCTTCAAAATCCTCACATCCATGTCCATGTGCTATTAAGAGAAAATCAATTGCAGCCCTGTTTTGCAAGGTTGCATGTCTGACACTGTTGACATCTGTTAGCATATCACTCAAGCAGGGAAGGTAGAACTGAACTCCTTACTCAGCCAACACCCTGGTCGATCTAATTGTTTCAGTGCCACTACTGAACTAAGTTGTGGCAGAAGAAGTGATGCTGAGAACCTTTTTCCAAAATTCCAAGGTTCAAAATCATCTTTTTAGTCTGGCTCATATTGACTAATAGATCTTTTACCTTTATGTTTCACTTTTGCACTGGATGTTAGCAGAGTAAATTTCCTGATGCTACATGGTCCACCTATGATGGGTGCCAGGATAGCAGGTCAAATCCTACCTCCACAAATGAAAAACATTCTGTTGTATGCTGGCATTTCCCCCTTCCTCAAGGGGCTGAAACTACTTATTATATTCCTTGTTCTGCCACCTGCTGTTTGGGTCTACTGCTAATACTGGAACGGAACTTTCCTGTGGGCCTTTAGGTTTGCATTGGCTTTTGCAATCAAGGGAGCATTTAGAAAGTGGGGCAGAGAAATAAGTTGGCCAGCCCAAGGGCTACATTGTTCCATGTGTTGCTCACATTTGCGGGGCTGAGATGCAGGCCTGCAGTGATAAATATCAGGGACCTGGGTGCAGCGGCAGCGACTGGCCTCTGAGTTTCTGGATTCCCGGCTGGCTGCGGCCAGTGCCGCCAGCAGTACTGAAGGAGGAAGGGCACCCTCCCGCTGAGAGACTTCCTGGGGAGAGTGCTTAAGGCAGAATGCCTTCAGGAGAGCAAGAATCCCCGGAGCTGTTTGGAGAGGAGTCGGGCTGCGTCTCGCAGGAGAAAGACAGGACCGCGCTGACAGGGAAAAGGAAGGTGTTTTATTGAAAGTGCGTCGTGCGCGGACAAAAATGCATGCCCGGCAGGGCCTTATAAACAGAATACACTGACCAATCTAAATTTTTGAGAGGAGGGAATAATGCGTAACAAACATCTCGGATCTCCAGTGGGAATAAACTGGGGGTTGAACCCTGACCTCTGGTCCAATCATTCAGTGTCCAAGACAGAAGGTTCTAGATGGAAGGGCATGGACACTGAATAACAGACAGGCAGCCAGGGAGGGATTAGGAGAGATAACTCGTAGGGAAAGGGAGTGGAAAAGTGCAACTGACGGGGCGATCAAGAAGAGGGAGAGAGAGAGAGCCCGGGGCAGAACCATAAACAGGAATGTGGGGTACAGGAATAAACCAACTTAAAACTAAAGCACCCCTACACCTGGGAATTAGTCTGAAAGCATTTTTCAAAGGACCAGCTCATTTGCTACACTACAGCCTATGGCCTTCAGCAGCAGGTGCCAAACACCCGAGACGTCATTTGGCAGACAGGGTGTAGGACACCGTTGCCCTCCAGCCCTGTGAGCTGTCCCGACTGGTGGTGTGCTGTGGCTGCTCTGGAGCTCCCTGCAGGCAGCAGCAGTGAGCACAGTGGATGACAAAGGCAGCATCCTTGCCTAGGAGGGAGAGCCCTTCCCACAGGCTGCCGGCCACAGGCTCTGCAGACCTACTCTGCAGTGCAGCAGCAGATGTGGGCACTGCCCCAGTCCAAATTAAACAACAGCTCAAATCATCCTAAACAGATTTTTGTTTATTGGATCATGAATGTACACACATGCAGCAGTGTCCATCTGCAAAGGCAGGTCTTGGTGGGACAGGTGCTGCAGGAGCAGCCACGGGAGCTGTGTTGGTGAGAAGAGCAAGAGTGGCTGTTTGATGCAGCCAGTGCCCTCAATGATCCTGGGACAGAGCATCAGTGCCAGAGGCTGCAATGTCACCCAGGGCCTCCTGCGGTGAGGTGGAGTTCTGGGAGGCTTCAGAGATCTCTGCTTTGTGCCTGTGTTTGGACTGCCTTCCTGAAGGCTTGGGAAAGTCTTGATTTGAGTAAAGATGCTGTGAAGGCATAGCTAGGTTCAGGCCACTGGAGTGGATCAGTGCTTTTCAGCGGGGAAAAGCACAGAGCTGGAAGTCAGGAGGTACATTGCTTATCCCACTCAGAGTTGGGGTTATGCTGAGCTCCTGGGGGTTGACAACAGACTTCAAAGTAAAGTTCTGCAAGATGGTGGCTAAGAATAAGAATATCTCCATTCGAGCCAAGCCCTCTCCTGGGCATATTCGTTTTCCTGGAAGTGAAAGCAGCAAATAGAACTCAATGGGAGTTTCTGAGTAGAGCAGAGTTTGTGCTAAGCAGCTGTGTTGCACAGCTTTGTTTGCTACACACAGGCATAGCAATGAGACAACTGTCAGGGTTACAGAGGGCATTTTCAAGAGAAGAATTTGTTGGCAAAAGATCCCTGACAGTTTGGATGGGTGTGTGAAGGAAGAAGAGGAGCAGGAGAAGACTTAAGTGTGGAGGGAACATGACAGGAGTCAAGATGAGAGAGAGCAGGGTGACATAAAGCACAGGTGAGAAAGTGGAGGGTCAGGCCTATTGATAGGTGAATGGTTGCATGTAGCCTAAGAGGTACTTAAAAGGTGCTGTGGAAAAAGTGGAGCTGTCACAAAAAGATTCGTTCAGGATGACCTGGGTGGTTGTGTAGGCAGGGGACCAGGTATTTTAGTGCCAGTGGATCCCATTCATGTCATTACATTGACAGCTCCTAGCAGGAGATTTGAGAAGCCATCAGGCCTGAAGAAGATGGGAGATGCCACTGGAGATAGGAGCAGAAGTGAGGAGATATCCAGAGAGCAGTAAGCCCCAAGGCAACACCTGTGGGACTGCGTTGGGAAGAGGCAGTTGAGTGTTGCAGGGAAAGGCAGAGTGGTCACCAGAGGGGGAGGCTGACAGAAAGAGGAAAAGGACAAACGTGTGCTTTACCTGCTGAGAAGGGCATGAAGAAGTTGCTCTTCCTAAAGCTGCCATCCTTATTCAAGAAATGTTCAGGATTGAACTCATGTGGGTTTGGAAACTCTTTACTGTCATAGAGGACAGAAGCGAGGATAGGGTAAATCGTGGTGCCCTGAAGTAACAAAAGAAGAGCAGAACATGAGAAGCAGGCAAGTGAGATCACTCAATCTGACTGCCTGCCAAGTTGAGACTCTGCTTCCCTGTATAACCCTACCAGTGCCTTTGGTTTCCCTTTGGGGACCCTTCTTTGGAGGAGGCATCTTTAGGGAGACCCTACTGAATGTCACAGCAGTTGTTGGCTGCTCTTCCTGACTTCTCCCTCTTGTCTCCAGAGCATTCATTCTGGCCTTGCTCTGGTCATCAGGGGACACCCCACCTAATTCTTCTCTTTCCTGGTGTTCCACAATAATGACTTTGTAGATGTACCATGTCCCTTCTTTCTGAGAGTCCAAAATATCCAAAGCACACAAAGCTGTGGAAAACAAGCTCCTGTTCCTGCCACAATCCTCTACCTTCCCACGTGCTGGCCAGCCATTAACAGGGCCTGGAGTATTCAGCAGCGATGACACAAGAGTTCTCTGCTGGTAGCTGAGCAGTTCTCTGGGTCCTGCCTTATGATTTGACACAGAGAGCTGGAAATCACACCAGCAGCAGCCCATGTACTGCTGTTTCCCAGCTGCCCACAGTCTCCCAGAAGAGCCATGAGCACTGCTGCAGCAGGCCAGGCCAAGCCATGGGCTGCTCTGGCCCACCAGCCTGCCTCTGGCAGTGGCCAGCAGAGACTGCCTCAGGAAGAGTGCTAGAGCAGAGCCAACAGCTATGGCTGGCTCCATTCAATGCAAACATCACCTACAGCATTTTGTGGCTCAGAGTCTTTCTGTGCTCAATAACCAACAACTGACTTTGCTCCCAAGCATGTGCCCAGGCTATCCTGGATGGTGGTGAGCTGCTCCTCAGCTTTGCTGCCTGTTGTGTGAAGAATCACTGCTCTGGGTGTTGGTGAACCCACTGTGCTTCTGCTAATGTTAAAGCTGCAGAGCAAGGGAACAAAAGTGTTGGTCAGATCTACTGTTTTAGTCTTGGCCCATGGAGCATCAACAAGAGAGTGCAAGTCAGCTACAGCTGCCTGAGGATAAAACCCTCTACAAAGGGCTGGGTGAAAACAAGGTCAGGCCACAACAGCTCTAACTTGTGGCTTTAACTGACTGACCAAGAACTGCTGAAGTCAAGGGAGCTAACCTTAGGAATGATGTAGTCTCTGAAGCTGGTGTCTTTGGTCACAGCGCGAGGGACACCCAAGGGGACAAGAGTGATGAAGCGCTGGATTTCATGGACCACGGCATCTGTGTAGGGCATCTGGGTCCGGTCAGCCACACAGGGTTTTCTTGATCGTCCTACTACCTGGTCAATCTCTTCTTGAATTTTCTCTGTCGTGAGAGGCATAAACCATCAAATGGGTAAATAAAACCAAAGCTGTCTAAATAGGTTGCCTTAAGCTGTTTTCAAATCACAGATGGCAGGAGCATGAAGTTGGTTTTGATGTTGACTG